GAGGTGGCCCGGCCATCGCAAGGATAACAGGCGAACGTACGTAGCGCATAATAAACTCAAAATTAATGATTTGTTCGCGAGAACTGCAGAACAAGTGGAAAAGTACGCGATGACTGGGCGAGTGCAAAGAAAATAACGCTTGATATGCTCTATGTGAGCTGCGCGTGCTTGCTTAGGTTACCTGCTCTTGCTGCGCTTACCTGCGGCCGGGGCAGGTAGCTATCAGCATGTCTAACCCGACGACAACATGTTCTAAGGTGTGAAAAATGGCAAGGCGACAAAAGCGGAAAGTAAGTAAAAATATTGCAGTTGGGTGTAGTCGACTGCATTGATTTTAATCTTCAATATAAACTTGGTTATTTTTTATTTGCTTAAAACATTTTTTTAATATAACAATTTGTGAGAGAAATTTTAGTTAGTCGTTTTATATATACATATGTATATATATTTTTTATTGAAAATAAAATATAGAAAATTTAAATTAAAAATTTTTAAATATATGCGCGTATATATATATATATATATATATATATATATATATATATATATATATATATATCGTATGTATATACTATTAGATTTTTCGCAGTTGCAAATTCAATGCCTCAAAAACAAAACCAATATACTCCTTTCAACGAGCATAAAAAAATATATATTGTGCAAAATATGAAGAGAACAAGCAGAAGTGAAAAGGCAAGGAGAAAGCGAAAGAGAGAGAGAGAGAGAGAAAGATAGGGGCATACTGTGTGCAACAGAGACAGCACTGAGCTAATGAGTCTCGGCCTGGCTCTGATTAGCAGCAGCGTGCCTGCGCCCCCTCATTCACTTATCTTATCAGCAGAGAGGCGCACCGTGTGTGCGGGCCGGGCCTAAAAGTTGATTGAGGCATGCCTTGCTCGATTACCTCTGTGTCATAGCCGCCATCATCATCACCATCGGGGGTAGGTGCTGGGGCAGCAGCCACAACACCTTGACAATAAGGCCAAGCAATGCAGCTGCCTTTTTGCCTTAAAATTTATTTTGACTCAGCTGCCACTGCCACAGATTTTATATTATTATGGCCATTGTTTTGCGAGGTAAAAATCTACATCGAAATCTGACGGGCATCAGCTGCTCAGGATGCAACATGACTAAGTCGGCAAACACAGCCGGAAATGCTTTGATTATTCATCATCTGTAGCTGTTAGCGATATCCAATCGAATCGATGAATGGCACTAAAATAGAATTGGTAGTAATATTTCGTATATTATCTGGCTGTTATCATATCAGTTTACTGACGTTTTTTGGTATGGAATGACATAAATATAACGACTAGGCACAGATAATATATGGTAACAGCTATAGGCAATGGTTGGAGAAAGTGAATATAGAACGAATTTGTTGACAAATACAAAATGGAACAAATTCTAGTTCCACTGAGAATTCCTATTAAAAAATGTTGGGTTCATTTATTCTTTCAATACCGTTAACTGAAATTGTCCAAATGTTTTATAGATCCCAAATAGTGGATATATGTTTATAATTTCATAATAATTAATAATGTCAATAATTAATAAAGTCATGATATAATTAATTATATGAGTATCGTATATAATTAATTATTTGAATAATTTTCCTTCTTGGGAAAAAATCCAAGCTTTTATAAATAGTTTCCCATTTATAAGCGAATTTCATTTAATCGTACATAGAGTAGAAAATATGAAATATTGTTGTTTCTGATACATACAATACTATAATACTAATTGATTATATGCTCATACATTTATAAATTAATTGTTACAATTTGTATTTATAAATTAATTGTGATAGCTGCAACAGTAACAAATAAATATTTTTATATTTTATGTTCCTTCATTTGGACCTTATAGATTATATAACGCATGAAAATTGTTGTTAACATGTAATATAATAAATTAGCAAATATTGGCCACAATTACTAACTTATACTCGTTTGCTGTTTTGGTAAAGTAAAAGCAATACAATAATTGAACAACATTAACTACATTCTCCTATTCCTGTTACTACAGCAAACTATTACCGCCTTCTGCTATACCCTAAATTTGAGGCAAAGAATTAAACTACAGCTAAACTAACTACAACTAAAATTATTTCGAACTTTTGCTTTTATACCCAAAAATAAGCTAAAATTGTATAAAACTGAAATTTACAAATCACAAACTTTTATATTTCATAGTTGCTTGAATTTTTTTATATAATAAAACTCATTCAAACTGGAGTTTTTGTTAAAGACATAAAAGTCTATAAATAAATAAAAATTGAAAATAAAATCACAGAATGTATTCAGTTTATTATTATTATTTTTTCTTTTTTTAATTTTATTTATGTATTTATAATTTTATGTTTTTTTACTTATTTATTTTTATTTTTTACATTTTTATTATTATTATTTTTTTTATTTTATTATTATTTTTTTTTTTTTTTTTTTTTGTTAACATGTTATCTACAACAATTTGTTATTATGCATACAGTCAATATTTGCTGCTAGAGTATTAAATCTTCGTCTGTGTCTTGTCTGCATTGCTTTCTTGTTTTTGCATTCCTTTGTCTGGTACCGAAAATTGATGGCTCTTCGTTTGTCCGCCTGAGTGCCGTTCACATTTTTCATGCAAAATTGTTTTCGCCTACCGCATCCCCCACCCAGCCCACGTTGCGCCAGCCAAGCGCTAAACCACGCCTCCTAACCAGATCCAAGCTCTGCCCGCCGACACCCAGCACTGCCACGCCCCCATTTGTCTGTTGCAGGACTTGTTTGTTCTGGACTTTGGCAAGTGTCGCAATCTAAGAACTTTGGCACGCTAATTTAGCGATAAGTTTTTTGAGTAGGGTTCCCAATCTCACTGTCTTACTCCCTCTCTCTCTCTCTCTCTCTCTCTCTCTCTCTCTTTCTCGCTTTTTCTCTCTCTCTGCCTTTAAAATTCCGTTTTATCTTTAAAGAATTTGATTTTGATTGCATTTGCTGCTGGCTCAACTACAGGTAGCTGCACAATTACTGAAATTCCTCAGGTGCCTCAGACGTATCACTGAAATGTCAACGCCAAACAATTTTAATATGTCGCCGGCTTCGAGTGTCGCGTTCTATTCCCAAACAGGAACCAGCCAACAGGGACAGGCCGAGAGAGACAGGGAGACAAACAGGACGACAGTGAAAAGGACAAGCCAAGTGCGAAAAGTGACAAATTGCAAGCAGCTCAAAACAAAAGAGAACGAAATGGTACAAAACCGTCAGCGCAGAGCGCGACAGGTCAACAGGGGGAGAAACTGAACGGAGCAGAGCAGGCACAGGTAACAGCTAACAGGTAACTCTGCTCTATGAATAGCAAAAGTCAGCTATTGAAATGAAAGCGAAGCAGCAACAAAAATGGTTAAATAATTCACAGTTGCTTGGCCACAGCGCAAGTTGGCTATAAATAAAATGTGAAGAATTGGAACAACATGAAATGGAACACAAGAAGTGGCAACACTCAACATACATATACAAACTACATACATATATAAACTCCGGAAATAATAGAAAAGCGAATGTGAGCAACAGTACTCTAGCTTATTTAAAGTGGAAATTCTGAATAAAAGTTTGAGTTGGATATAAAATATTTCAGTATATAAATCAATATTATATAAGAAGGAATATATTATTCATCATAAAAATATAAGACATTTTTCAAATAATTCTATTAATGTTAATATTTTCAAAAATAATTAGTATTAAGATAGTTGGAGAGTAAGAAAAATATTTATATGAAATATAAATATTTTATTTGTTTTCATTTCTTTTATTTTATTTAGTTCATTTATTTTATACATATATTTTTTAGATATTATTCACAAATAATTCTTGACAATAATATTGTTTACATATATAATTATAATTTATTGTAAACTTTGTTTATATAAATGCTGAACTGCCACAAAAAAGGTTTAATATGACATGAAAATTCCCTTCTTTTTTATTAAATTTATTATTCCTTTTTTATTTATTATAACATATATCTATTACAATTTGTTGTAGATAAGCCATATAATCGAATTTCTATAAACTGTCTATCGTCAACCCATAGCAGTACACATATTTATTTTTCTAAATCCTCTAATGTCACATATTATGTCAAGCTCAAATGACGAATGTGCAAAATAAAACGAATTTCCTAGATATCTGAGTATTTGGTTTCCATAGAAGTTTTATAAGAAATATGAAGAAAGAAAAGCAGAGTATAAATGAAAATCATTGTATATGTTAGAAAGAACATTTTTGCGTTCATTCGCAGTATAGAAGAACCAAAATATATACAATATTAGCAAAAATATTAAAATCTTTAAAATAAGTTAACAATTTTTTTTTTAAATTACAGCTAGAATTTTTGTAATGCATATGTTAAATAATAATAGATTAAATGTTATAAATGGCATATCTTTAATTTTATTTTACATATTTCTTTATCTATATTTTATATAATATGTGCGAATTTTTCTAACTTTCATCATGAGAAAGAATATTGATAAGGAAAAAGACACACAGCTAGTTAATTGTTGATATAAAATCAATGATATGATATATATACATATGTATGTATATATTATATTACTAACCTAGTAATTGATAAGAAATTGATAGGAATCAGCTTAAAGGAATGTCTAATCTATATTTATTATAATATTTGAGAAATGATTTATTTACTATCACAAGAAATCACTTGAACTACTATTAGTTAATAATTGATAATTATTGATTAAAATATTATTATTATTATTATTATTATTTTTTTTTTTATTTGTTCATTTATTTATTTATTTATTTTTTTTTTTTTTTTTTTTTTTTTTTTTTTAGTTTTTTTTTTTTTTTTTTTTTTTTTTTTATTTGTTTGATTTAGTTTTTCTCATTTATTATATTCTGTCTGTGTTCTTTATTTTTATAATTATAGCTACACTTTTTATTTACTATTTTAATTTTTGAAAGTTATTTTTCATTAAAAAGTGAACTCACCTTTTGTGCCTTGCATGTGACATTGATGGACTGCACCTCGTGCGTCTGATGGCGTTGCTCCCCGATGCACTGGCCACAGGCGGGCATCTTGCAGCTGAGACAGTATTGGGAGAGGGTCTCCTCGTGCTCGCCGCATACGGACTCCCGCTGCTGGGCGGCGCCGCGCGGCTTCACCAGCGTGTGCTTGGCCAGGGGGCCGCGTGCCGGGTGGCAGAGCTCCCGGCAGGCGTCGCAGTAGCGAATCTCGCACTGCTCGCAGATCAGCGATGCGACCTTCGGGTCGGACTCGCACATTTGGCAGCGCAGCGCCTCGCGGGCACAGAAGCGATCGACAATGGCCTCCATGGCGCGATAGGTGGGCAGGTTGCGCACGCCACCCTCGTCGAAGAACACGAGCTTCCTGCACAGCGGGCAGGTGAGACAGTAGGCGGCACCAGGTGGCGCCACCACGCCGCCCTGGAGCAGGCCCTGTAGCTGCCCGGTGCCGGCATACGACACCGGCCGGGATGTGTTCGAGCAGCAGACGACGCCCGAGTCGGCCTCGCTGAAGATGCTCACCTTGTCCGACTGATCCTGGTCGGAGGTGACGCTCTCGCTGCCCGTGGCCGAGCTGGCGGTGCTCGCCGCCGAGCTGTGTGAACTGTGCCGGGTGCCCGTGCCCGGGCCCGGTCCGGCTGAGGACCCGCCCACCGCTGCCGCTGCTCCAGCAGCCGAATGCTGTCCATTGTGGGCAACAGCTGAGGTGCCGCTGACAGCGCCAACGCCGACGCCAGCAGCGCCAGTGGCCGCAGCAGCAGCGGCTGTCAATGCAGCGCCCGGTGTATAGGGCGTCTGTATATCCAATGCACAGCCCAGGCAGAGGGCGTGGAAGCAGGGCAGCAGCACAGGATTCGCGTACAGCTGCTTGCAGGTGGGACAACGCAGTTCGTCCTCCATTTTATTTGTTTGTTTCTTTTTTTTTTTTTTTTTTTTTTTTTTTTTAAATTATGCCTCTTTAGTTTGACTTGAGCTTGTTTGCTTTTACTCCAATTGGAATTGGTCTCAGCTAACGGGTTTGAATTTCGCTTCTTGTTTACAAATTTAACCGTTGATCGCTCATCTTGTCGCACTCACATAAACATTCACTTCTTCTTCTTCACACTTTGTTCACTTTACATTGATTTGTTGCTGTTGTTGTTATTGTTGTGCTGCCTGCTTGTTACAAGCAATTGTTTCAACAATTTTCATCACTTGATTCGCAACGGTAAATTCACAAAAATACGCGCGTTTTCATTCGCTTATACGTAACTTATTCAACCGCTATGCACACCCGCTCGCCATTCAACTTCGTCAAAGACTAAATTGTCGGTGGTTGTTTAACAGTGTTGGAGTCGCACTTCTTGACTCACTAACAGAGGCAGCCGCAACTGTTGACGAAACTTAACGAAACGACAACAGCGCAACAACAGCGTTTATCACATTAACAGCCGTCGCGACGGTTGAGCTCAAAATTTCTTATCACTAAATTTAATAATAACTTTCTATATTGCGGCAATAAACAACAACAAAGTGGCAACATATTGCTCGCTCGAACAGCTCCATAAATAAAGTCGATGCAGACGAATAGAAAAAAAAAAATACAAAACAAAACACAAACAGAACTTGCTACAAATGTAGCTGCATTTAATTTATGCAAATTCCGTGTGAGCTCCAAATGGCACTAAATGCTTTCAAATGCAAAGAAAATAAAAAAACCAAATTAAAATAAATAAATGCCAGCAAATTGCAAGCGTTTAGTAAAAAGCATTCCGTGTGTGTGTGTGTGTTTTTTTTTATTTATTATTAAAATGACAAATAAATAAATAATAGCACAAAGTGTTGGCATTGCGGTCTCTGTGCCATGAATTCCATTTAGTTGTCATTTATATGACGCACCATTTTATACCTAAATTTCCGTATAAATAATATTTGCGCTATTTTATTGTAGTTCACACATTGGAAAAAAATTATTAGAATAAACAAATTAATGAACCGAAAAGGTATTTGCATAAAGATTTAGAATTAAAATTTAATTCCGTGATTTTTCAGCAAAATAGAATAGCGAAAATTAACAGAGTGGAAAAACTAACTGCAAAAAAATTCAGCTAAACATTATACTATACAAAAATATTATTCGAATGTCGCTCACTACATAATAAATAGATTAAAACCATTTGCAACATGTCCAAGCAATTAAATACAATTAATTAATTTATGAACAGGAACCAAGTCATGGAAAAAATATATACATAAATATTTACGTAGGCATACTTTCAATTTAATAAAAAAAAAAAAAAAAAAAAAAAAAAAAAAAACTAAAATATATAAACAGTTTATTTATATATAATTTTTTTATATGTTTTATATGCTTATTATTTATGTAGCCTCAATTATTGTTGTTATTGTTGAAGAGTTTATATTTATTTATCTCTAAAACTTTGCGGAATTTTCTATAACAAAAATTTAACCTTTACAAAGTCTAACAATTTATTATTAAATTAAATAAAATAAAATTTAATGATATTAAATAAAAAATTTTTTGCCCACCCATTTAAACAAAATGAAGATTAGGAATAATTTGCATATAAAAGCATTACTCAATGTGAAACGTAAAACATTTTCAATATCTTTACAATTTAGACATGAAGAAAACTCAATTTGAATTACCCAAAAAAAATTTTGGTAACATTTGCTGTCAAATTGCAATTATTAAATCTTACTATGAAAGCCTCTTACAGGCTAACATCAGCAGCGGAAGTGCCTTCTTGACCCATATGATAAGAGTTATGCACTACATTTTTGTACTTAAATGGTTTTATGTAAGCCAAGGCTTATAAATTAAATAAGAGTAAAAACTATTTCGAAATCAAATCAAATCAAAAGCAATATGCACACCAACACACATAAAGAAAAGAATAAATAGAGCAGAATTCAATATGCAATAAATCTACATTAGGAGCAAAGTGAATTACAATAATTATTTTAGGGCACTCAAAAGTCGAGCTGCAGCAAATATTGAAGTTCTTTTTTTCAAGTAAAATGCTGACTCTTAAAGAATACAAAGCAAATACAATAAATGCGTTTAACACATGCCACGCCCAGCAATCAGAGAGAGAGAGAGATAGAGACTGAGTGAGAGAGAGCGAGAGACAAAATGCAATCAAGAAAGAAAAACAATAAAAACAGTTTGAAAATTTTCACACAAACTACAAGTAGCCATAAAATTTTAATAACTTTTTGTGAGTTCACTGGGCGGGGTCAAGCGGCCCTCATCGAACTGAAAACGAAAATAAATGTCGTTAAATTTTCAACACACAAATCAAATCAAAACAAAATAAAAACCAAAAAATATATATAAACTAAAACGCAGACAGCAAACAAAGATGGGCAATCAGTGGGCATGGTCAGCGGACAGCGGGCAGCGGGCAGCGAGGGTAACAAAAACTAATTAAATTAAATCAATAATAGGGGCGATAGCCCGGGTTTACGACTGCGGCCCCTACAATTAAAACTTGCACCACACAGCCCGAAACTGTTGACAAACAAAAAGGACCAAACTTTTACAAAATTTTGGCGCTATTTTCGCTGCCTATCGGAGGAGGGACACCGAGCGCCTAGCTGCATCAACAAAAGTAATTATAGCACAAAACATTTATAATTTTTGCCTTACTTTCGGGTGCAAAAAGCCTTGACAATTGCCTTGAAACATGCAAAACGTGCATAAATTACAGCAGCTAAAGTAAAAACCAGAGAATAAAGCAAAGAAAAGCGAAAAAAGCGAGCACTTTCCCAGCACTTGACTGCCTAAATATAATTAAAAAAAAAAAAAAGAAGAAAAACTAATTTTTAGATAAGCCAGCGAAAAATTACACAACAATTCGCCACGCCCACACGCCCTCGCCCACCCGCAGCTGATTTGACATTTATGGTGGAAATAATTAGAAGCTTTCCCAACAAGCGTGAAAGTGTCGTGGAAAAGTTCATGAAAATTACAAAGCGAAATGACTGAAAATAGCACGAAATATAAGCAGTCGGAAACACGAATTTGAGGGGAATGAAAGATGTAGAATAAAATGAAAAATAACAGAAATATGCTGGAAAAACCAACTAAATATGCAATTAAATTGTGGCGGGAAATTTAGTATACAAAATTTATCAGAGTTGTAACTATTATGTTATATATATATAATATATAACATACTATAATATAATTTAGTTTATTATAATTTAATAATATGTACACATTTATTATGACGGCTATTTCTGTTCAGCTTTATATATAGTATATAGTAATTATGATATGTAAATTGAATGGCAAATCGGGAAACAAAGACTTCTTTTATTATTTAATGAAAGATTTTCTTGTTTTTGGACGCATATTACGCCGCATATTCCTTTAAAAAAATTATCTCTTAAGAAATAGCTGTTATATTAGGATCTGAGTTGTTAAAGCATGGAAAGTATAAAGATTATAAGCAATTGTTAAGTAAAATTATATAAGACTTTAGGCGTTTCTTTATTATCTATCTATCCCTATCCCTATGCCTAAAATGAAGATTCTTAAAGCAACACCCACAAGCTTACCAAAATATGTATCTCTATAACTTTATGTAAAAACAAATATTTAGTTGAATGTACCTAAAATTGCCCTTTTAAACTCATTTATGAATTTTAATCTGCTCGCCTACATAATACATTCAAGTGTTCATTAAGCACCGGCTTAGGACCCAGTTCATAGGAAACGCTTAATCAATAACATAAATATTATTGCAACATAATTAAGCCCATTCCCAGCCACACTTAAAATTCACTTAATTACAGAGCCAAACGTATTTATAGCATTTGGCTTAGCCATATCTCTCCTCATTTTCTTATCAAAATTCCCATTTCATTTCTGTGGTCGCCGCCAACTCCGTCTAATTCTAATGAATTCGCACATTTAATTCTTAATAAGTCGGCACCTGGCTTTTAGGACTTCCGTATTGCAGCTAGACTTCCTGTGCTTTGGGCCAACACTTGGCTAATTACGGCCCAATTACCGAGTGTATTCACTTTTATGTGCGGCAATGGCGGCGGCAGGTCCCAATATAATTACACAGAAAAATGAATTACATAATTAATAAACAAATTCTGCGCAGTGCTAATTAACTGCCTAGAAACAGGCGAATGGAACGCGAGAGGGGGTGTGCGTGTGTGTAAGCTGGAACAGTGGAATTGACTTGGAGTGGGAATTAAGGCCGCAGAAGCCTAAAGTCAATGCCCAAAATGAAAGGCGGCTCAAAACACACCCACAAAAGCACCAGTACACACCCACGCATATACATACATAAGCACACACACACATAGACACATACGTAGAAAAGACGAGAGGATAACGCATGTAAGCAAATGGCAAATGGAAGAAGGCAAAAAGCATATCGACTTAATTGCTGACAGCAGAGCATTTGGATGAGTGTGCGAGGTGGATGGGCAAAAAGAGCGGGGGAAAGAGATGGACAAAGGGATAGAGAGAGAGAGAGAGCTATATGGCAGGCAAACAGCGTAGAGATAGCATTAGAGTCAGAGTTATGACTGTGTGCATAGTCGAGGGAGTGGGAAGTTCTGTGTATTCCACTGTTTACATAGGCAATTCTGTAAAGCGGAAATACTCAGCTAACCAATACTCTGTACTTTAGAGTAATATTATTTTTAGTGGCTACTCAAAATTTGAGTGCTTAGACGAGCGACATTCATAATAGGACATACAAAATTGACATAAAATAAAATATTAAAATAAGTAATAAATATTTCAAATTTTAATTAACTATAATAATATAAATACATATATGAAACCAAATTAATAATTAATACATAGCAAATATATGTAATTAAGATATATAATAGAATATGTAATCAATATTTCAAATTTTAATTAACAAACATTTTAATATATTTAGAAACAAATAAATAAATTTATAAATTTTAATATACATATATGAAACCAAATTTTACATCAAACATATTAATTTAAAAATTTTATATTTAAATTTAAATAAATAATAATAATATTTTAATTTATTTATATATTTCATTTAACCAATATCTTAATTAACTTATACATTCAATAAAAACTTTTATTAATCTAAAAAATGTATATATTTAATATTTTTTTTTATTTTTTTTTTTTTTTGCAATAATATTTTAACATCTTTATATTGAAAATAAAATTTTATGAATACAATATATAAATATTATTTAATTAATAAATTCAAAATGTAATAAACTCCACCCTTCGCCACCCGCACATAGGGTACAATCCTAAAAGTTGCACAATACAATGAAATTAAACAAAAAT